GTATGGATGAATATCAATTGAGTTGAGAAAACGTAAGATGCAATCGCCGACGTTATGGGGGAGACTTTTGATTGGATGAAAACAGGTATTTTAACGCTGAGTCGTGCACTAGAAAGTTTACTCTTCATCACGCACTGACGAGTTCCCTGTAGCACAGGTACTATTGCTGTGGCGCGTGCGCCGCTTCCGGCGCCTAAGTGGCCGCCCACATATGCCATCCGGACTTCTCTGCTCCTGGCCGGCTTCCCTGATGAGTCTTAGTACTGTGGTGAGCTTGATTTGGGCATTTCTCCGTTTTCGTTTGCTTGGCCTTAACTCCAGTGTGTTGTACCCAATCTTAAACAGCTCGATGGCATGAACTTCGTCACGGATGGCCGGCATCGGTTTTCCAAGGTCTTTTTCAATCCCGTTTATGATATGCCGCATCATAACTGACCACTCTGACAGTGTTGCTTTCTTTTGTGGCGTGTCCAGATCGTCCGATGGTATACCCTTGTATGGTGGATAGTTAAGCTCCGGATTGCCGAACCACCACGGTATCCACGCCCCCAGCGGATCGATACTTGGAAAGGCGAAGTCTTTTGGAAGCACGTGAAATTTCCCACCCCATGTATGATAATAGCGAGTTTGTGCTGTCGATAAAGTTGATAAGGCCGCTGATTTCTCTTTTTGAAGCCCAACCTCTTCTAATAACGCTCTTAATTCCTCATGCAAAAGGTCCCTCGTTATATTACCCGCTGCCACACCTTTCTTTTCCAATATCGCTTCCATTCTTTGCTCAAGTTTATCAGGAAGTAAGTCGATAGACTGCTGCTGCTTATCAAGTTTTTTGTAGAGCTCAATGTAGGGCGGAATACCTGTCGGGTGCATCCAGCTCGAATCGCCAAGTTGAAGTTGTTCTTGTAGGCTGTGAAAAACGCTCACATTCGTAAAGACTATTGTCGAGAGCAGAGGGTGGTTTGTTGGTAAATTCTGCTGTAAATATTTCCTGTGAAAAACCAGCGACGCCAGACATAACTGTAAAATGCCGTTTAAATTAGGTTCATCCGCAAGACTCGGAAAAACCGTTCTCATCACTGATGTTGTTGCGTTATCACCGGTGGAGTTAAAATGTGGCGGTAGTGTAGCAAATTTTGAATCGTTTATAGGCAGCCCAGCAACGACGCGACCTAAAAATTGGTCTCCTGCTGCTTCGTAGCGGAAATAGCGATCCTGAACTCCACCAAGTGACCAACCACAGCGTAAACAAACACTCACAATTGAAGGACCCCCAGTACTTCCACCGCACGCAAATGTCGCGACACCTTTTCGTATCGAGTGAGTACCATAGGTTTTTGCGGAGCCATCGAGTTTTAGAAGACTACCCAAAGTCTTACTAAATCGAAGCTTCTGGTTGGACCCTGGGAATAGTGGCCCCTGTTGCAATCTCGGGTGGCACGCCAAGTAAATTGCGAGCGCTGTTACCCAGCACGTAGAAGGACTTAGCGGATTCGCGTAAACGTGACGAGGATCACGCGGCCCAGTGCCTTCCTGATTCGTTTTTGTCTTGACAAATATTACACCAATGCCATCGTCTTTAGCCACAAAATGCTGAGTTTGTACGGTTTGAACAGACATTGATCTGCACATTAAATTCCATTGGGATATTAGGAAGAGATGAGAAAAACCTCCATCACCAAGTTCCAAAGTTTCTTTACAGAGCTTCTGGTAAAGCGAGTAGGTCAATGGCTGCTTCCCGGACGTCTTCGGGTTACTAATCTGGTCACTATCAGCCTCCATGCGCTTCATTCCCGAGAAAAGCTGTTTCATTCCATCTCCATATTCAGGCGGCAAAGCTAGACGCCTCACTCTATACAGGTCCTTAATTGCACTCCGATAACCACTTAGTGTCCCAGCTTTCACATCACGGCTTTTGTAAACAAGAAACTGCTCAAAATACGGAGGCGTGAACTCCAATAGATTAAGTTCACCATTGCTGTCGAAGAATCGATCCGTGTTGTGGTCGACTTTAGCAAGCTCCTTGCGAATCCACTTTGCAATGCCGTTCAAGCTACTCTTGTACTTCCCTCGTGTTTCCTTGGTAACGCAGGCATCTCGGATTGCCTCCACGTCAGCTACAGCCATACCGCAGGCCGCGCTTTCGCTGGTCTGTTGCGCGCTTCCTTCACTCATTTTACAGTGGCTTCTGGGTAGTTTTAAATCAATTTTTGGCCAATTGGAACAGCGTATAATTGTAAGACGATTCCACTTACGATTTGTTGGAAACTCGGGATGGCAAGGCGTTGTATAGTGAGCCTTTGTCAAAATACGAGTAAGAATATTTCTTTTTGATAAAAGGTAAGTGGTCAGCGCTTACGAATTGACGCGAAACTCAATATATTACTTATGAAAGTACAGGAATCATCAATTCTCCGACCCTACTTAATTTTAGTATTGGTATTAATCACCAATCATCCATTTTTATTTATTAGACATCCAATCGTACGGTCTTGACAAGATGATTTGGACAATCCATATGGTAAGGGTTAGGTTGAACCTCGTTGGAGTTGGCTCCGACATGACCCGATAGAAACGTTTTTTAAAGGCTCGAGTCCAGCAGTGGTTATTTAGCATGTATTATAGCAGTAAATTTTAGAAGAGGTGGGTAGCAGCGCCACAGGGAGCTTGCTCGTCTAGGAGCAACACATGCAACATCCCTGCGTGGAGATCCATTATTTTTATATTACGTAGAGCATAATGTAGCCAGAGTCAATCAAATGTACATGTATTGCCTTATTTATTCTTGAGCACTCCGGCCTGTGCACCGCCTTGCCGCACTGCCACCGCTCTGATGCCGCCCTGCCACCGCACTGAGACCGCCCTGCCGCCGCACTCCCACCGCCCTGCCGCCTCCCTGCCACCGCCCTGCCACCGCCCTGCCGCCTCCCTGCCACCGCACTGAGACCGCACTGAGACCGCCCTGCCACCGCTGCCGCCCTGCCACCACCCTGCCACCACCCTGCCACCACCCTGCCACCACCCTGCCCTCCTTTTTATTTGTGATTACATTTTCAATGTGGCCCACAGTTAAAAAAGAAAACTTTATATTTTTGTTTTAAGAACTACTGACTTACATGTGCCGCCATTTATGTACAGGTCGGAGGTTGTCGGAGGTCGGAGATTTTAAGTTATAGCTCCTGACGGTGGAGCGCGAGGATGCGCGTCGCGGAGTGATTGTTTGAACCATAGATAGCTCGCAATAGCGGAGCTGTACAGGTGAGCTCGACATACAGCATTATTAATTGATTTATTGCACATGGTGTGGTTGCATTCGCTTACAACTGTGTTCGTGCAAAGGTGATCGCTGCTTATCTGATTATTGTGGTTCATTTCGACTTTGGGGAACCAAAAACTGAGACTGCGATGTGTGTTGGGTCGGCAGATCAACAACTTGAACTGGAGTAGATAATATGTCTTGCGTGATGACTTCGCGGTCGTCCGTGATAAACACCACGCTATGCTCCACGACATCGGTCTCTCCACCGGTCCCACCACTCCTAGCGACGCTGCCCACACGATTGCTCTCAGCATCGATATCGTTGACGTCAACGTCGACATCGATCTCCTCGGAAATCAAGTGCTCTGCCACCGTTTCAGCCGCTAGGCCTGAGTAATTAATGGCAACGTCCTCATACAGCGCGTTGTACTCACACTAGAAGGCCAGTAAATCTTCAACCAATTGACGACGAACGAGGTGCATTTGCCGAATGCGAGCTTGTTGCTCGGTAGTGAACAGACCTGCCATCACGACTCGGTAGCAGCTGATGTTGCGGGCAGATGTGGGCAACAGCGTCACGGCGGGGCCCGGCATCGAGTCGAATGCGAGGCAGTGCGAGCGCATTGCGCGATGCGCGCCACCGCGCATAACCCGCGTCACAGCAATGATCGAGACCGTCTGCGTCATGAAACGCTCCGGTAGCGTAGCACTGGCGAGACGACTCGGCAGCGAACCAACATAAAACCCGTTCTTGGTAGCAAATTTCGGCAGCAACTGCTTCGCTAAGCTGGCATTGCATTCTCCACACACTTGAATGTAGCCAGCTGGATGAACACCGCGTTTTGACAGCAACATTCCACCTAAACAAGCAAACAGCCCCGAGCAGTCGTACTCGGCTGTTAAACGTGGCGGCAAGTGCTCGTCGGTACGGGACAGCAGTATTTGCATTTGCTTAATGCGATCGCAATCGTCGCCAACTGACAACATGGTCATCGACTTGCGCAACTTCATGCAGTCGCACACGGCGCATGTTGCACCATCGAGCCCGGACGGCCCAAGTTTTAATCTCAATCGATGCAAAACCTCTTCTTTCGTACTCTTAGTCACGGGACGGAGCGTCGGAGCACCACCGTCTAGCCAGCTTTGATGCGGTTCCCCATTGGATTGACATTGATCCTTGAAACCAATAGCCGTGCGGGTACGCTGTTGTCGCTGACGCTGTCGGCGCAGTCTTTCAACTCTCTGTTCAGTGCTCTCACGTGCTCGACTACGTTGAGCAGCGAGCCTGTGTCGCTCTCGCCGTTCTTCAGCGCTGAAGACCATAAATCGTGGCCAACACGTGAAGCTGTTGACACCAACACAAGCGATTCTTGTAACTTTGGGAACCGACTAACAACAGCCCACAACTCAGATAGCTAGCGACTTGTACATGCTCGCCGATACGATTCGCACAGTTTCGAAAGTTACTGGGCATTGCTCAGTCCTAACGGTGCGAAATAAGTTTGGTTCTCCAAGTGAGGTACGCCGCGCGGGACAGGCATACCGTTGTTGAGCTATGCTGCACGACATTGTCCTAGTCGCAAACGTTTAAGAACTGATGCTCACAACATCATAAAAAATCTTGCTTCGATGTTCCATGCTTTCCGCTGCGATCGCCTAGTCCCTTTCAGGAGCAAACGCGTGAATAGACCACAGAGCACACAGTCCATTCAGCCCGAGCCAGCATTCTTTTCCTCCGACAGCAATGCCACCAAAGAAACAGCGCGACAAAGACGCAGTCGACAAGCTAGTACCGGACAACGTGATGATCGAGCCTCGGTCTACGCCGACAATGAAACACGATCCAGTGTTAGTCATGAACGATCACCTAACGACGAGCTACCAGTCGCCCCTGAAAAAGCTCGAGAGCACGATCGAGAAGCACAGCCGAAAGATTTTCGTAACAGTCGACGGTACGTACTTAACCGGGTTAAAGCTTGGCATGCATCACAACGACTATTCCAGATTATTAACGAATGGAGTACTTGCTGCCAAATAGATCTGCGCGAGTTTATCATGCACAGCGACGGCAACGACAAGGAAGTGTGCGCGTCCGTGCACATCAAGGCGCGTCTTCTTTGGATGGCGTCCGACACAGTCCGAGGTCTACACTTTTTACGACTCTACTTTGGCGAATGTCAGGCGCCAGAACCGTTGCAGCAGCAACAACAGGTAATAAACTATAGACAACACGAACATCTCGCTACAATCTTACATCGTATATGCCTCAGGCCTCAAAGCAAGCGCAACAGGACGACCCATTCGAAGCAAATTAATTCCTCATCTCTGTCTCGCTACTCAAAGTGAACATCGACGACCCCAAGCTTCCACGTCCAGGAGACGTAGTGATGATCACACCGTTCAAACTCAACGCCTACCGCAACTGCTGTCAAATCGATGCCAAACTGTACGGCCTCACTAAGATCAACATCTCGTGAAGTCACACCACATCGCATCAAGTAGCATCGGCACACTCTTCACCCATATCAAACACCACAGTCAGTTAGTGAGCCGCCTACCCATTTCATTTCGCAAGTACGTCAATCAGTCAATCGATGTATGCTTCTTTCCAAATCTCTTTATCTTCTTCCTCTTCATTCACCAACCAAAAAAAAAACTCTCGATGTTTGAGAACTACGCTTCTCGGGCTTCAGCCCGTACGCCAATCTTTTACGTCATACGCTATAATATTTGTGATACTATCATGTAAAACATAATCAATATTAATATTTTTTTTAATCAATCAATGATTAGTTCTTGAGAGATGCAATGATGGACTCTTAAAAATAAGGAGATTCGTCGGCTGGCCGTATCAACAGCAACGAGAATCAAAACGGAAGTCTAAGTACGGGCTAAGCGAAGTGGTCTAGCTTCTCGCAGATACGGCACGCATTCAAGGACAGATCGCCCGAAGTCATCAGAACGAGAAGGAAAATTGACTGATCAAGAAAAAAAGAAAATGGAGTCATCGACGACCACAAATCATTCTTGTCTGAAGGGTGAATTCGTGATCGGTTGGATTTGGTGATTAGTTGTGAGCCTTAAAAGGTTCCTTTAACCAGTAACTGAGACTCTATTTCCAGAAACCTTATCAAGCGTACCAGGAGATAAAAAAACGACTATTGTAGATTCATTGGCGGACTAAAATTTGAGTAAAACGATACAGGCAATCAGGGGGGCACAGGCAATAAAGGATATTTTACAGAAAAGAGTTAGGGGGAATCAAAAATTAGATTTGCGAACGACCAAGTTGAGAGTAATTTTTAATACTTAAGTAGGCCATTTGAGGCCTCGTTTATCTTACCCCCCTAGTGTCTGTCCGTACGTCCGTCCGTAACGGGTTAGGGTTAATAAAGCCCACGCTAATGCGGGCGTTCTGCTGGCTGCCGAGCGCAGCGAAGGCGGCGCCAATTGCCTATAATCGCATTATGTGGTTTACACACTGTATGTGGCCAACACATCGTACTTAAATGCAGCGTTCAAATTTCATTTTGCTCTCATTTTCAGCTGCGGCTCGCAAGGTCACGCTAAGGGCGCTACCTGTGCACGCGTTAATTAGAATTAATAGGAGGCGCCGACGTGCACACACATGCAATATCGTCGTAGGAGCTGTTGACAGTTTTTGTAGGTCCTGGTGACTTATATTTATGCCTCAATCGATACTTTAGTAGCTATTGGATATAGAATGATATTTTAGGCTTCATAGTACTTTTCTAAGAATTAAACTTACAATACTGTTTTGAGTAGTACTATTATTAAGACATTTCATATTTTTCCTTGCAGCTATTTGTAGTAGTAGTACACATAATTATTATATCAGCGTTCGATAATAAATCACAATTTATTACTATTAATAAAAATGAGAATACTTTAAAAAAAGATGATCGTGCCCTGCACCCCACACTGCCTCCGGGAAAAAGTGTCATCTTCCTTTGTATTTGCGCGCGTAGTGTGCGACCTTCATATATTGTGCGAACTTTCCAACAATATATGTAGTGTACATCAAACAAAATGGGAACAGCTATTGTGTTTAAGTTAGCGCGGAGGCACGTGACTAAGCAACAGCACGAAGCACGAAGGAACATCGACCCACCCTATGTAGACGATGGGTTAGAAGAGCAACACGAACCACGGAAGGCCATGGACGATGATAGAAGACTTAGCCGATGCAAACCACGAAGTTTTATAAGTAGCGTGAAAGACGGAAGAGCACACAGCCATGAAAAGGACAGAAGGACAAGAATATGACGAAAGCGTACGGGCCTCGGAAGGGAGCTAATATATAGACACCCCAGCATGCTGAAAAGCACAGCTACGGAAGAGCACGAACGTTCGAAGCCACGGTAGAGCACGTAGCGTTAAGAGTGCACAGACAGCAATTCTCCCATAGCACCACGGTAGAACACAGGGCACAGTCGGCCGACCAAACATGAAGCCGCAGTAGACATAAACGGAATATCACCGAGCATTGGAGCACGATATTAGGGTAGAACCGGAGATCACCGAGTCTCACAACACGATGCTACGGTAGCTAACGATCGCATTGACGAAAGACCAGCCGCGACACTACAAGTTAGCATGATAGCATGGACTATACCACTAAACATGGGAGAACGCAGCTGCGTAGCTATAGACGGGAAACCTTTGAGTCGCAGAGAACGATTTCACTGTATAACCTGAGCTTACCGAGCAATGTAGGACAGTAGTACATTAGAACGGGATTGCACGGACGGCGGGCCAGCCACGACATACACTGTGGGGGGGGGCCTTGGGGTGACCACGATTGCACACTGTGGAGCACGATGCCATTGTAGAACACGATAAACCGGACAACGCAGATACACTTCGTGAGCACAATACCATAGACAGCATTATCACACCGTGATAGCGTGATTGCACGATAGCGTAATAGCGCGATCGATGGAACCTCACCAGGAGAGCACGATACATGGGCGACGTAGCAACACGACTGCGTGAAGGCACCAAACCACGGAATAGCGCCCTTCAGCTAGAGTACCAGCGATGGGAGGTCAACGGCCACAAAAGACTATGCACAACGAACCCGGTGCAACCTACAAAATCGTTTGAGAACAAGAAATAGTTAGCAGCTGCGAAAGAAGGGTGTACGAAAGAGCATAAACCCAAAAGAGAGAGCGCTTAACAATAAGCAGTGTGGGCCACGGGTGAGCAGAAAGCCACGAAGCCAGGAAGAGCATGAAAGAGCATGAAAGAGCACGGGATATTGAAGAACACAACATCCAACCTATAGGACGGGGCAACGGAAACGTTCCAAACCACGATATTATACGGGTCCACATGATAATGGAGAGTATGCGCTCGAGGCTTGTGTTAAGAAGAAAGGAAATTCGAAAGTGAGTTTTATTGAGTTAATTGTTCTTGTCTTGCTTTGCTAGCCCCTTTTACTTTCCTCCGTAATCCTCCTAATCACATGTTAATCCATACACAAAGATACATTTCGTCGGCAACGCCTATACTCGTCATAAGCGTTGGCGACGAAAATCACTTGGGTTTTGTATGTGGACTGGATATGCACAAATCCGACCGTGGCATTAACCATGCCAATCATTTAGGATCAGCCAATCAGATAGCTCCATTTGACCCACTTCAACTTATGACCGCTCATGGCACACGCTTGTCACGCACCAACCGCGTGCTCCAGGCGCGTGTCTAGAGGTTGGAACCCAGGCAAAGTGATGGCAAAGTGCAATCACAACACCCCCACGCAAGTCGACGTCTCGAGCTTGACGACCAAATTGCTCTTCATCATCAAGTAGCGTAGCGTCTTCGACGACAGATGGTAAGGAAGTCCGCGAGCTAGTTCTTGGTTTCCATATACTCCAGCTCAACTTCATCACTCATAACGTTTTCACGAATGAAGTGGTAGCGAATGTCGATGTGCTTGGTACGAGCTTGATAACCGACGTTTTCGCCAACGCCATGGTACCTGGGTTGTTCTCGTAGATCACCGTAGCCCCCACTTGTTCAGCACCAATGTCCTTAAGCAGTAGACGCATCCACATCACTTCCTTGATGCAGTCACTAAGAGCCATGTACTCGGCCTCAGTCGAGCTTAGGGCGACGGTCTTCTTAAACGTGGAGCGCCAAACCACTGGTGCCCCGCACATCATGAGCATTGTCCCGCTAACCGAACGTCTGTCGTCGCGGTTGCCAGCTCAGTCTTCATCCGAGTAGGCGACGAGCTCTGTTCCTTGCGAACCGTCGTACACGATGCCCACCTCCTTGGTCTTCAACAGATAGCGCACCACCTTGATTCCAGCATTCCAGTGCTTCTCACCAGGATTCTCCAGCGACTCAGCTTGGCAACAGCAAGCGAGATGTCAGGTCGTGTGCCACACGCCAGGTACATGATGCTACCAATGAGCGATCGGTACAGCTTCAACTTCATCTTAGCCTTGTCTTCATCGGTCTCCGGTCCGTCCTCCTTAGTCAGGTGTAGACTTGGGCTAGAGGCATCAGGCTTGGCTTCGCGCTGTCTTGATCAAACTTCTTGATGATCGACTCGGTGTATGCGCGTTGTGAGATGCCAAGCTTCTTGCCATCGATGTCGTAATCGATCTCGATACCGAGAATGAACCGGGTGGGTCCTAGATCCTTGATCTTGAACTTCTCGGCGATGCCAGCCTTTACCGACGCGATGATGACCTTGTCTCGTGACGCAATCAGCATGTCGTCCACGTATAGATACACGATGCACTCGTCATCACCTGCACCTCTCGTGTAGATGCTCGGGTCAGCGTCATCAGCCTGAAACTTCCATGATCTTGAGATGGTTGTCGATGGTCTCGTTCCAGACACGAGACGAGTGCTTGAGTCCGTACAAACGTTGCAGTAGCATGCAGACGACATCATCTTCACCTTGAGCCTTTGCCAGTACCAGTAGCCCCCAAAGACCTTCTGCCAACTCCATGTAGATCTCTTCTTCGAGCTTCCCGTACAGAAACGCTGTATCCACGTCGCACTGCTCGATGTCGAATCCTTCAGCACAATACTTAGCCAGCACTGCCCTGATTGAGTTCAGGTAAGCCCCAGGCGCGTACGGCTCTTCGTAGTCGATGCCCTGTCGTTGTGAATACCCGTTTGCCACAAGACGAGCCTTGTGTCGAATCACTTGCCCCTTCTCGTTGCGCTTCAACGCGAACACCCAGCGGCAACCGATCGGGCGCTGGTGCGTTGGTCTTGGCACTAACTTCCAGGTACCGTTGTCCGTTAGCGACTTGAGCTGCAGCGGGGCTGCCGTAGCTTTAACGTCAGAGGAAGACGTTCGACTCAGAGTCACTAATACTAAGTTCCTTATCCAGAGGACACTTACAGCCCAAGACCAGGGCTCAACGTTAATACCTTAACTTTTTATGCTTCAAAACCAGAAGTGTTTTATTTACTATTATTGCGGCCAAGCCGCCTAGGGGTAAATGTATCTGTTTAACTATCTAGCATGGTTAAACCTAATCAAATGCATAACGTGTGGCTTTCAGCCAACGTACTGAGAGACCTTGTTAACTCTCCGGGTACTTCGTACCCCTGTGTGTTCCACACCATGTAACCCCGTTACACTCCCCCCACTCAAATGAGAACATTCCATTCTCGAAACTTTCCTCAGCGAGGTCACGTCTTGTTAAGACGGCGGAGGTTACTACACCTCACACCAGCGTTGTACAGCTCCGTGAGCTCACAAACGCCTACGCATCGTTGATGCCCAACTTCTCGTCGTCGGCCCACGGCCCAATGATCCAGGCGCAGCGCACATCTTGCTCTCAAGCGGTCTCAGACCTACGCTCGCGCTCCGTGCCTACTCCAAGAGCCGCAAACTGCTTAGAGCAATGCTCTTGACTCATTCGAGTCGTCGACAGCAGCTCAGCGGTTGAACACTCGCTTCACAAGTGTGGTGAAGTGCTTTCTCAGAAATAGGAGAATGGACCTGACGCGGGGTCACTATCTTAAATCAGTGACAATTCAAGTGATTAGAGGGGATTTGGGTTGTCTGGCACGGATGCAAGTTGCCTGTGGTGGATTCGCCATGACGAGCAGCACCCCGTATGAAATGACGATGGATCTGGTATGAGTGGTGTACGGGAGGGCAAGATCCATCAAGACCTATCTCGGATCCACCCTCACCTGGATTCACTTAGGTGGAACTGGGATATACTATGTAACGGTGGATCGAGTGTGGATCCCAAGAATGAATGATGGTAGGTGCCACCTGAAGGTGGATCTAGTAACCACGGCTAATGAGAAGTTAAGATCCACCGCGAGAGGTCCCGGATCCCATACTTCCGAGTTCGGATCCAAGGAAGGAGGATCCCGCATAGAGGGACCTGGATCCAGCATACAGGGATGATGAAGGTAGTGGATCTCAAACTTTCGTGGAACAATGGATATCACGGACGGTGGCAAGATGATGTTGGATTATTGGAGAGCTCAGATCCACGACGAGTGTACCCTTACAGTGAAGTGGATCCAAGCGACCTGGATCCAGATGAGTGTACCCATAATAGGGTGACCATAATGATTACGCCATGGATCCGGTGGATCTGAAGATAATACAGCTGGGATGATGGGTCAAGGGAAGAAGGGACATGCAGCCGCGCCTGGTAAGGGTTTAACAAGTAAAAGACATAGAAGGTAGAAATCCAGGCAGGTATAGGCTTAAGTATCAATACAGTCTTCAATTTGCACAATAACACGCAAGTGCCTTCCTGCCCTCAAGAACCGGAACTACATTGGCCGTACGAGCTCGGAGAAGGTTAGGAATTGCGAATCTAGTGTTGGTAGTGATAACTGGATAATACATTGGCCAGATCCTACAACCTAGTGAGCTTTTCCTATATACGTGCAGATTCGACAGGTTAACCGAATTTACTACTTGGTCGGTTACACCCTAGAAGGTCTCAACTCTCAAGATCCCGTCACAAGAGGCGGCAAGTACGACGTAAAGGAAACGCAAAGGCAAGGGAACACACCCGCAAGGCAACCCTACGGCCAGATCCACGATCTAGGCCCCGGATCCCTATTCGCTTAGGATTCGGAGCCATCCACGGACGCAGAGTGAAAATTTTCCACTGCTGCTCCACCCCATCCCCACGTCTCGCCAAGACACTCAAGCTTCACCACTTGAACTCTTCGGAAGTTACCGAGAGAGCAAGATCCCGCCCTACCGACGGGTACACAAGGTGAGGAAAGTTCAGCGGAACCCGGATCATCGGGGGACCCCCTCCGTTAGTCGGTGTCTGGGCGCAGTTGATAAGTTGGATCTGGCAATCTCGCAGATTTTGCTGATCCCGCTACACCACACAAGCGATAGGTGGGTGGTTAGAACCCACCAAGGCACAGCCCTTTCGTTCCATGAACGATTGTCCACGCTTGGACAAGCTTAAGGGCAATCCCCTTTTAGCTCAGTGGTTGGGCGTTGGCTTTGGAAGCCACCTATCGGTGGTGCGAAACCACCAGGGCACAGCCCTCTCGTTCCATGAACCGTTGTCCGTGGATACTGGAAGTACCATGCCCCAGGAAAGTGGTTCAGACAAGCCAACGTAGGGGGCAAGATCAACAATGAAAAAGCAATCCTACTCCTAGATAGTGTTGCCGAGGTGTCTATACTGGATACCGCCTTTGCTCGTAAGATTGGGTGCCAAGTGGATGGGAGTCGGATCCAAGATTGTGTTGGGATTGGTGAAGGCGTGTATCGTACAAACGGGAGAACGCGAATCAAGATCACGTTGGCAGGTTGCTTGGTGTACTGGTTTGACATTTGGGTTGGAGATCTCGCTGGTCAAGACGCCATCCTCGGGATGGATTTCATGGTACCAGCCGGAGTGAGGTTGGATCTGGCGGATGGGACACTTTGTTTCCCTGACGAGATGCGGATCCAGCTCAGAGGACGGCAGCCGTTGTACGGGGCGAAGATGAGGATCATAAGGGCGGATAAGACGACCTGGATCGAGCCCGGAGAAACCTGGGAACTGCCGGATCGGTTAAAGTGGGTGGAACATGAGAAACTGTGGGTCACTCGGGGGTGCCTACCGTAATCCAGGGACCAGGTCGATCGCAATACCTCCAGGTCACGAACGTCAGCGACAAGAGACTATTACTGGACCATTATGAAGAGATCGGACGATGGTTGGCGAAGGACGGTATACCTAGGCGACCTGGATATGTGTCAGTGGAATCTTCAGCATGGCACGTGTCCACAGTACCCCGTCGTTACAGAGAATGGCCGAATCTGGCGTACGAGGCGACTACCGAGATCGAATCTCTCGGAGAGGTGGAGCTCCCGGCGGGGCCAACTGGCCTCTTGGTGGATAGGCCTTCCTATCCAACTCCGCGAAAGATCCTGCAGAGGGATCGTCGGATGGAGGTCCAAGCGCAGGAGGTTGGACCCAAGACCAGGGATGACCCCCAGAGCCGGCCCCTAGATAACGCAGGGTCAGTGGATGAAGGATCGCAGAAGGCTGGAGCCGGACCGCCAGATCCCGCTGACCCCAGAATGGATCCTAGCTTTTCAGAAAACCAAGTGCCTGGATCCTTATCGAGAGTGGCAACACTAGTCAAACCAGAACCGTCGGGTTTTAACTCGCTAGAGGATCGACTAGATCCAACTGGTGACTTCCTTGATACCAGGGTACCTGATCCCCCGAAGAAAGAAGGACTGTCAGGTGAAAGAGGGTCGCGGTGCTTGGATCCAATGGTGGATCCGACGAAGACGGAAGGTGAACAAGTCTGTTACCATGAAGGCGGGGATCTACACGCAGAGGATCTCGGGGATGGCCTGGCGGTGATCCCGGAGGTACCACTGACCACAGAGGAGGTCACGATTGACGATATCCAAGTGGATCCAGGGGCAAACGAGCCCGCGGAAGTGGATCGGTTGCGTCAGAAAATCTGGGAAAGCCGACATCTGCTGATTGGTAAAGGTAATGCATTACCGCCCGCTGCCCGCGGAGTCAAATGTGACATCGATGTCGGCGACGCGAAACCGATCGCTCAAAGGGTGCGAAAGGTGGCACCTCAGTTCCGAGAAAACATATCGGATCTGATTAAGGGCCTGCTGCAAGCCAAGATCATCAGTTTCTCAACGTCCCCATGGGCAATTCCGGTGGTAATCATCATCAAGAATAACGGGGTGGATATACGTTTGTGCATAGATTACCGGCTAGTTAACGGCCTGACTCGATTGATGGTGTATCCGATGCCTCTAATCAATGAGCTGTTGGAAGATTTGGATAAAGTGCTCTGGTACTGCTCTCTGGGACATGACCCAGTGGGTTTCTGGGGTGGGTGAACTATGATGGAATCGAGCTCGCCGCGAATATGTTTATTCCCATTCTCCACGCTTTGGGAACTGCTTTCAGTTGGAAACCGCGAATGTCGCTTTCGGATTGAAGAACGCACCCCAGATCTACCAGCGCCTGATCGATAACGCCCTCTCTGGATTCACCCGAATACCGGAACCCGAAAATGGTGGATCCAGGTAAGATCATACGGAAGTGGATCCATTCGAAGCAGGAGAGCCAGGGGATCCTGGGACGCCGTCTGTGTTAGGACGCAGATCTTATATCGACGACATTCTAATCCCAGCAGAGTCGCGGGATCAGTTGTGTGAAAGTGTGACATCCCTACTGGAGGCGTGTACTAAGTGGAATCTCTCTATCAGCGTGATAAAAAGCTATGGGGGATGCGCAAGGTGGATTACTTAGGCCATCGAGTCTCCAAGGAAGGATTGGAGGCGAATCCTAAGGACCTGTCTTCGTTAGCGGACTTGCCCTTCCCACGGTCGTTACGGGCGATGCAATCCTTCTTGGGCAGTTTGAACTACTACAGTCGGTTCATCGAGGATTACGCACTGTTTGCTGTGGAACTATATGAGTTGAACAAGGTAGACTTTGCCGCAATGACTACTCCAGCTGTCCGAATCAAAATCCAACAAGCTCTGGCCCTGGAGATGTCGGATCCACGAGGGGATCCAAGTAGTACGATGCCAGAAGAAGACCTAAAACAGGAGCTGGATCCCCCCCGGGACCAAAGGAAAGAGGATCCAATCAGGATAAAGACGACGGATCAGAACTCGGAAAAGGTGGAGCTTCGGTGGATTCGAGCTCAACACGCATTCGTGGAGTTGAGAAGCAGGATCGCAACCACACCTATCCTCCGGCATTTTGATCCGCAACGTCAACCTACGGTGATAGTTTATGCCAGTAACTGGGCAGTCTCAGCAGCTTTGGTACAAGAACATGAAGTGATTTGTCATCCAGTCACCTTCGTCAGCCGGACACTGAAGCCGAATGAACTGAACTACGGAGCGGTGGAGAAAGAGATACTCGCGCTTCTGCGCGTACTGGATCTCAATTACAACCTGCTGGTGGGAAGATCCATCCGGATCCTGACTCGACACTCTACGCTAGCCTGGCTGTTCAAGTCGGCCGGGTTGCAAGGACGTTTGGGACAGTGGGCAGCTTTACTCTCGCCTTGGACACTGGAGATTGTGAAATGATTGAAAGGGGAAGACGAGATCCTGGGAGTCTTGGCCGCGAGCATCACACCTCGAGCTAAGATGGATGAGGCGCTGACTAGGATCGCTCCTAAGAAAGAGCCCAAACGCCGGATCCAGATCCCGATCCCCACGGTACAGGTGGATGAGGATCTGCACGTCCTAAGTTTCGATGGATCCGCTCGCGTAAGACGAGGAGGAGAAGCATACAGCGCAATACTGTGGAGACTGCCCGGATGGGAAGTTGTACGGGCCAGATCTACTTACGCGGAAGGCCTCACCGTCAAGAAGCGGAGTATAACGGGCTCCTTCTAAGTTTGGATCTACAAAGGGACAAGATCCAAAAAGGCTGGTGATTTGTGGGGATTCAAATTTGGTGATCAGACAGGTGCGAGGTGAGATTGACTGCAAGGCCCCGGCCCTAACACTGTTACGGTAGAAAGTGATGATCCACCTGCGTGGTTGGTTGAATCACGAGTTGGTGCATGTCAAGCGAGATTGGAATGCCAGTGCAGATAGCTTGGCCAGTGCCGCTTTACGGAATCAATGTGGTGTCGAAGTAGAGAGAGAGACCGAGCATTAGGATCTCGTTACGTTGAACCGACTAGACGAAGTGGTGGTAGTTGGATCCGGGAAAAGGACAGTCCAGGTGATGGCTGTCACTAGGTCCAGAGGAAGGATTGGACCCAGCCCCCAGATTCTCGAGGAAACATTTGTGAAGGGAGTCCGCATTGAGCGGATCCTAAAAGCACAGGACGAGGAAGCGTGGGTTTTGGGACTAAAGAAGTATCTGATGGGGGATGTACGAGACCTGAGTCGGGAGGATGCCAAATCCTACAGTATTGTCGCTACGGATTACGCAGTGGATCTGAATGACTTGCTCTTCTATTGCCCCCCCCTACGAAGAGGGTCAACGAGGATCGAGATGGGATTGATGAGACTGGTGATACCGGAAACCTTACAACAGGAAGTCCTACACCACTATCACGCTAGTTTAGAAGGTGGACATCAGGGTATTGGTCGGACTTACCAACGGATCCGGGAATGTTTCCACTG